ATTACCACCACCTCTCCACTAGCACTACAACAACTACTACAATCCTACACCTCTACAATAATTGCCACTGTTGTCATATCCATCATTATCATTAACACTGCTGCCACCTCTTTTTACCTCCACTTCATTACCCCTCCACCATCACCACAACCACTATCCCTTTGACTCCATCACCATTGCCATTGGCGCCATAACCACCGCCACCTCCACTACCACCACCACTTCCTCTCCGTCACAAATTCACAATACAAAAATTGAAAGATACAATTTGAAAGTAATAAATTTCAAATTTGATCATGCACATATCAAACAACTTGTTTTAGTTCCACACTTTAATATTTAGCAACAACTTTTCAACTTAAAAAATTTGACATTCATTTTTCAGTTTTATCAAACGTCACATTATTAATACTAAGCTTATTGTTATTAGGAGGTACTTTTGATATTGAGCATAATATTGAATTTGGAATATTGCTTTTGTTTGTTTTCTCTGTCCTCGCTTGTTCCAATTTCATATGGGTAAGAATAGTATTATGGTGAAGGTAAAATGCATATATTTTGTGCCACGTGTAAGAATTCTGAAGTATTTTTGTATATTCAATTGTTAATGTTTACAAAGTATTCATCAGTTTATATAGCCCTAATCTATGGCTTGATAAGGAATGACTGATAAAGGACATACATACGCCTAATTAACGCCTAATTCCTAATATGCATAACCATGCCATATATATAATCATGCCATATATACAATATATTCTCACAGTCCATCTCAAACTCAAGGTGTTTCAGCAGAAAACACTGAGAGTTTGCTAAGAAGAAATTGAAACCAAGCGATAGTGTGAGTCTTGGTGAAGAAGTCCGCAAGTTACAAAGCCGAGGAGACGAACGAAAACGAGAGAGAGCCAGACTGCAGATGCTGTCGGACAAAGTGATAATCAATTTCAATGTGTTTCGTCCATTCATGGAGGGCAATATTGTGGGCAATCTGAATAGCACTGCGGTTGTCACAATAGAGAGAGGTCGGAGAAGACTGAGGGACACCCAAATCAGAGAGAAGACAACAAAGCCAAACAAGCTCAGCAGTAGCATGAGCCATAGCACGGTACTCAACTTTGACAGTAGAGTGAGCAACAACAGTTTGTTTCTTGTTTTTCCAAGAGATCAAGTCGCCAAGAAACGTATGGAAACCAAAGGTGGACTTGCGATCATTAACATTACCAGCCCAATCAGAATCAGCATAGGCCACCAAGTCTAAAGAGGAAGTAGAGGATAACAGTAAACCTTGAAAGTACTCTGGAGATAGCGAAGAATGCAAACCAAAGCAGCCCAATGGGTAGAGCGAGGAGCAGAAACAAACTGACTAACCACATACACAGCATAAACAAGATCAGGACGAGTAACAGTCAAATAAACTAAACAATCCACAAGCTCGCGATAGACAGTAGGATCATCCAAAGGGACACCATCAATAGAGTTGAGCTTGACATTAAGCTCAATAGGTGTATCAGTAAGACCGGTATGGTGAATAACCTCATTGGCATATTATGCCTGAGACAGGAAATAGCCCTTTTGAGAAGAGGCAACCTCAATACCAAGAAAATACCGCAGTGGACCCAGATCTTTCATTTCGAAGGTGCAGAAGAAATGTTGCTTGACCTCAGAGAGAGCAGAAGAGTCAAAGCCAGTAATGATCATATCATCCACATAGAGTATGAGAGCAACAAAACCAACTGAGGTATGTCTAAAAAACAAAGCAGAGTCGGAAGTAGAAGGATGAAACCTAAGCTTGGTAACAGCAGTCTGAAAGCGATCATACCAAGCACGAGGAGATTGCTTCAAACCATACAGAGCACGCCGAAGATGACAAACTTGCCCAAAGGAGTGAAGAAGGCCAGGGGGAGGACGCATGTAGACTTCATCAATGAGATGACCGTTAAGAAAAGCATTCTTAACGTCCATCTGATAAAGAGGCCAATGTTGAACAGCAACAACAGAAATCAAGGTATGGACAGTAGTCATCTTGGCAACAAGGGCAAATGTCTACTCATAATCAATACTATACTCTTGCAAGAAACCCTTTGCAACCAAGCGAGCTTTGTATCGCTTGAGAGAACCATCAAAATGAGTCTTGACTTTATAGACTCATTTGCAACCAACCAGATTCTTGCCAGCAGGTAAAGGACCCAACTCCCAAGTGTTAGTCTTCTGCTAGGCAAACAACTCATCATGCATAGCTTGAACCCAATTAGGATCCTGACAGGCCTCCTTGTAAGACTGAGGTTCTGAAAAAGAATGAATAACAGACAAAAAAGTATGATAGGAAACAGAAAAACATGTATTAGACCAACTCAACCTGTTTGGAGGATGACGTTGACGAGTAGGATATCGGTGTGCAGCAGGATCAGAGTTGTCAGAAGCAGAAGGATCAGCAGCAGGGGCAGAGACAACTGGTGGAGGAGGAGCCTTACAACGAGAATAAACTAACAACGGAGAAGGTGAAAAAGTCGAAAGAGGAGAAGCAGCCAGAGGCGAAGCAGCCAGAGGCGAAGATGAAACAAGTTCAGGAGAAATAGTGGAGATGTACTCATCAGATGGGGCCTCAGAAGGAGATGGATCAAGATGAACCAAATTCTCTTGGGAAACTGGGGCAGTAAGAGGAGGAAGTTAAAAGTAAGATAGACGTTCGAGAAAGGCAACGTGGCGGGAGACATAAAGGCGACGGGAAACATGGTCATAACAGCGATAACCTTTCTGAGTGAGACTATAACCCAAAAAGACACATAAGACAGACCGCGCACTAAGTTTGGTCCTATTTTTATGGGGTAAAAGGACAAAACAAGCAGATCCAAACACAGGATGGAGTAATTAGGAAGTTCAGAAAATAGAGTCTCATAAGGAGACCGACCAGAAAGAAGGGGGTAGGCATACGGTTGAGAAAAAAAGCAGCAGTAAGAATGGCTTCACCCCAAGACGGAGCCGGAACAAATGCAAAGAGAAGGAGAGACCTACCTGTCTCAAGGAGATGACGGTATTTATGCTCAGCTTGACCATTTTGGGCAGGTGTATCAGTACAAGAAGTTTGGTGAATGGTACCCAATTTGGCCAAGTATTCATAGAATTCAGTTTTAAAGTATTCCCCACCCAAGTCAGACCGCAACAATTTAATAGTAAACCCAAACTGTGTAGTGATCATAGACTGGAAAGTACGGTATATTTGGTAGAAGTCAGACTTATGAGTCATAAGATAAACCCAAGTGTAACGGGTGCAGTCATCAATAAATGACACATAGTATGCAGAACCCCCTTTGGTGAGAACAGGAGAAGGGCTCCAAACATCAGTATGAACTAAAGAAAATGGTGTATCAGATGTAGAAGTACTTTTATGAAAAGGTAAGGCTGTCATTTTGGTAAGTTTACACCCCCGACATTCAGTAAGTTCACTAGGAGAAATTTTACCTAATATACCAGATTGAGCCAAAGACCGTAAGCGATCAGCAGACAACTGTCCTAATCTAGAATGCCACAAGTAGAGAGGACTAGACATAAAATCTAACTGAAAAGAGGAAAAGGCAGTCGGAGAGGTTTCCATAGGTAGATGCAAGCTCTCCGCCACATAGAAGTCTCCAACTCTACGGCCGGTCCCAATCTGCTGCTTAGACATTCGATCCTGCACAGAACATATAGAAGAAGAAAAGATAACATCAAAACCCGAGGCATCAAGCTAACTGATAGATAATAAATTGACAGATAACTGAGGAACATAAAGGACAGATGGAATAGAGACAGTAGACATAACAGACGGTAGGACAGACCCAACAGATATAACAGACATACTAGACCCATTAGCAGCATTAACAGTAATAGGTAAGGGAGAGGGAATACAATTTTGAAGTAAGGAGAGATGGGGAGTCATATGATGAGAAGCACTAAAGTCAAAAATCTAGACAGACAAAGAGATACCTGAAGAAGACTCAAGCAACCTGAATGAAGAGAGGAAACAACTAAAGTAGACGGGGAGGGTTGGGAGGTAGACAGCATATACTGAAGTTGACTAATCTGAGCCCTCAAGGAAGCCAAGTCAGGATCAGGAATCGGAGCAGATGCAGTGGTACTGACAGAGGGATGAAAAGTACTCAGAGGAGGAGCTCGGGATTGGGTTTGAGACTGCTAAGAAGACGTGGTAGGCAGACGTTCCTTCTTGGGACAGTGATACTTCCAATGGCCCTTCTGATGACAAAAAGCACAATCATCTGAAGCCAGATACATCATAATAACTTGAAGCTGAAGTCGAACGAAAACCAACGAGAGGAGTTGCGAACCAGATGGGTCGCGATTCCAGCCTTGAATAGTCGCGATTCCGGTGCTAATAGATCTGGTACAATCGAGACTCCGGTGACTAAACCAGGGAGAGAACTTGAACGAAGGCCAAGAGCCAAGAGAACTTTGATCGAAAGCGTTGAACTTCGTGAACACGACCACAGAAAGAGAGAACTTCGCGAATACCAATCGCGATTCTGGTGCTCTACGACCTGCGACTCAGAGGGATAAAACCAGAGGGCTGATTTCCAAGAGACGATTGCGATGAAGAAGAGCACCTATGATTACGACTCAGTGAGATTCTAATGAAAAAGACGACACAGAGTCAATTTCTACGGTTTCGGCTCAGAGACGGCTCTGATACCATGTAAGAATTCTGAAGTATTTCTGTATATTCAATTGTTAATGTTTACAAAGTATTCATCAGTTTGTATAGCTCTAATCTATGGCTGAACAAGGAATGACTAAAAAAGGAAATACATATGCTTAATTAACGCCTAATTCCTAATATACATAACCATGCCATATATACAATCATGCCATATATACAATATATTCTCACACCACGTGCATGCTCATATGCCATGTTGTAGTGAAGGAATTTCACCTAGGTATACTTACGTTCTCATTTTTTAGACCTCCTTAATTTTCCATACATATATGTATATTTTCTGTTACAGGTTGTTCACCCTATTCATGACCAGACGTTTTATTTGACTCTTGAGCACAAAAGAAAGCTGAAGGAGGAATACGGTTAGTTTATTTGTATATTCTGTAAGGCAGTTTGATTTGATGTTGTGACTTTGTGACAATAATTGTCAAATGGATGCTTTTGTACAGGAATTGAACCATGGACTTTTGTGCAAAAACTTGGAGATGCAGTTTTTATTCCTGCCGGTTGTCCTTATCAAGTTAGAAACTTGAAGGTATTGTAAGATTTTAGCTGGTTTAGGATTTTGTAATTTTGAAGTTACTACTTTATGTAGGGCCATCAGTAAAGTCTGAACAATTACCACTTTTCTATAAGTTATTGTTACACACACTGCTTTCAAGCCAACAACATGCGGTTGCACAAATACAAAAAGATAGAAGCAGACGTGCATATCCTGGTCTTTCCACTTGAATTGTCCCAGTTTCTATGCACATGCTCTCTTCAGTGTATTTATTCTACATGGCATTTTTCATTTTGGCTTAAAAAATACAGGAATGAGAGTCACCATTTGGAGAACTCTTTACTAAAAGTTTTTTGAGACTACATCGTAGTGTTTTGATTTCTGTCTTATAGGTTTCTATGCTAATAATGTATTCATATTGCATTCATAATGAAATGGTAATAGATTTTATTGGGAGTGGGGTCTAGAGGTTGGTGGCAAATTATTATACTTTGGATTTGTCATGGAGAGAGAATGAACCCACTTATCACATTATTTATTTTGTGTTGAAACCTTTCTTTTGTAACTTCACCATTGCACATTAGCTTATAAACTTATTTGATACAAAAGTTGGGTTTTGGTGGCATATGGCCCCTGATTGATGGTTGCAAGATCCATCAAAAGATGATTCCTGCTTAGCAAATTGCAATTTCAGAAGTCCCTATAAATAGACGATCTTATAGAGTTCAGAATTGCTGTCTCAAGTTCCATTGTTGAGATGTTTTTCGACTTTTCAAGTTGAAGACTTTCCTGCTATAAATATAAATCAATCCTTCACTACTGAAAAGATTGAATTTTTTTTCCCTCAAGGTTTTGTGCTATAAATATGATAGAAAAAATTGTTTCATAAAAAAGGTTAGTTCAGATGCCGTTTTCTGATATCCTTTTTGGTTATATTTGCAGTCATGCATAAAGGTTGACCTTGACTTTGTCTCACCTGAAAATTTAAGCGAGTGTATTCGTTTATCCGAGGAGGTCCGTTTGCTCCCTGAAAATCATAGAGCCAAAGAAGACAAGTTGGAGGTAGACCATATGACTATTTCTCTATAATGTCATCCGGATTATTTCTCTATAATGTCATCTGGACTATATGTTGGCTTTTTCAACTAGGTATTGGAATGCCACAGATTTTGCATATATTTGACTTTGCTAATCAGTTAAGACTCTACTTTTAAACTGGACCAAGTTATTCCTCTCTATCAAATTTTATCCATTACTTTTCTAGTATTACATATTTGCTTGCATTTAGATAAAAGGGTCTTACCTAAACATTCAAATGGATTATTGTTTTAATTAATTTCCCATTCCGGTACCATTTTTCTTAATTTCTCGAAAAATGTTTTCTAATTATTAAGTTTGTCATAATTATGCCTCTTAAAATTGTGTTTGTAGATATTTGTGATGTATTGACCACAAAAGAATATTTGTATGTGATTCTAAAATCAGCTAATATCATAAATGTATCACAAGCATCACATATGTTAAACATTATATTGGTGTAGGGATCCTACTCCAACCATCAAAATTCACTCTATCAGCATTGACATATATCACAAGATCCTAAGAAGCATGGACACACGACACGATAAGGACACATAGACACACGGAAATTTTCAAAATATGTAGGACATGACACGTGCAACATTGACACAGCGTTAGTGTAAGAATGAACTAGATATCGTTCTAGTAGACGAAACAGGGACTTGATATCGTTCTAGCAGACGAGAATTCTTGAATCCACAAGAACACCCTTGAATCCACAAGGAAAATAGAAGAAAAACTTTTTAAAATATTATTGATTGAATGCCTCCATTACATATGCTTGTAGGCTTATTTATAATAAACTAAACGTAATACTTGTAGGAAAAGTAATTCTAAAATAAACTAGGAAATTTAAATCAATACAAATTAGAAAACCTAAAAAAATAGTAAATTAAAATTCTAAACTATTTAAAATCCTTGTCAAAATCTAATTCCAAAATAATAAAATTAAGAAATATAAAAATTATATAATTTTGTTCTACATCATACTCCTCTTCTTTAAAAGAACTCGTCCTTGAGTTTCAACTACAAATCTGCCATCTTCCATGCCAAATAAAGAGATATTTTGAATACTTTAGTTGCTTTCCCCTTCTTGAAAAGAACTCGTCCTTGGGTTTCAACTACAGATTTGCCATCTTCCATGCCAAATAAAGAGATATTTTGAATATTTCAGTTGCTTGCCCCTCTTCGAAAAGTTGTATGTAGAAAAATTTTCTTTCTGAAAGTTCTTCTCTGTATGCTTCAACTTGTTGATAAGATTAATTAGACAAGCATTGAAAATCAAATTGAATTGCTCTACACCAAGAAAATCAATATAGTGTATTTTATGTTGATGTCGGATACTCTCTAGACTTTGCTCTACCTTAGATTCAGTTGGACATTCAATTATCATCCCTAGAACATCAATTGTATCCTCAATTAACTTTTCTGGTGCACATGTCAACTTTATTACCTCATCTTTTATTTCTTTTCTTTTTTATTGAGTTCAACTAGTTCTCCTTCTTTTGCAATCTCATAATCATCATAATAATCAAGAGATGATAGTTTTGTCATTAGAAACTCTTGGCTAACTTCAACGTTTTTCTCTTACTTCACCTTTTCATCTTCTTCTTCAAACTTCTTGATCAAAGTAATTTCAGTGACCTCTCTTTCATCCATTTCAACATTCTCACCGTTGTTGAAATCAGCTTGATTCTCTACTTCAATTGAATGTCTGTTTGGGTCTTCAAAATTTTCAAACATTGAGATACTTAAAATCTTTTCTTCTTCAATGCGTGGTTTAGCGTGACAAATTTGTTGACCTACAAGACTTGATTGACCCAAACTTGGCAGAACCATAGTCATGTTCCTCGAATAATCTGTATCCACAATTGCATAATAATTATTGAATTGCGAAGAATATTGTGAATCAAAATTACCTTGGAACAATTGTTTCAATTCAAGCTTTCTTTGATATTGATGATACAAAATTTGCCCACGATTTGATTGAAGGAATCTAGAACTCATCAACTTCTTTATCTTATGCCACGTCCTAATGGGTTGTTTGTTTTGTTGCCTTTGATCATACTACAATTGTTTCCACCATGTAGAAACATAACCTTGTAACTTACGTGCGGCATATTTGGCTTGCTTTTCTTCAAAGATTTCCACACACTCAAGGAATTTGTCAACTTTGCGAAACCAATAAATAAAATCCTCTGCATGACAAGAAGCATCAAAATAGGGGATTTCTGGTTGTACTTGATAATTTGAAAAGCCATGATTGATGCAATTATTGCTATTGAACACATCACTGAATCTTTGTCGTCGCCTTACTGACTGATATTCACCATAATCTTCGAATAACTCATCTTCAAATTCATCCTCACTATCGTATTGATAATAAGAAGATTGTCTCAATACGTTGTGGTTAATACGCTGGCCTTGTGCAATTCCCATAGCGCGGTTCCTATTAACGTTGTGACTAACAAGTTAGCCACAAGTTAGCCTTGGGCAAGTCCCTTGACTCGAATCCTATTAGATCTTTCTTTACGCTCATCGTTAATAGAGCTTGTGCTTTTTCCTTCTATGAATGACATCGAGCCAACCGAAATCTTGCTCTGATACCAATTGACGCAGCGGTAGTGTAAAAATGAACCAGATATCGTTCTAGTAGACGAAACAAGAACTAGATATCATTTTAGTAGACGAAACAAGGACTAGATATCGTTCTAGTAAACGAGAATTCTTGAATCCACAAGGAAAATAGAAGAAAAACTCTTTAAAATATTATTGATTGAATGCCTCCATTACATATGCTTGTAGGCTTATTTATAATAAACTAAACTTAACACTTGTAGGAAAAGTAATTCTAAAATAAATTAGGAAACTTAAATCAATACAAATTAGGAAACCTTAAAAAATAGGAAATTAAAATTCTAAACTATTTAAAATCCTAGTCAAAATCTAATTCTAAATTAATAAAATTAAGAAATATAAAAATTATATAATTTTGTTCTACATCAAAAATATATAATTTTTTATATTTATTATATGTCATATATGAATAATAGTCAAAGATTATAATTTTGAAGTCTAAAGGAAGAGAATATGTATAAATTTACATTGTTTTTGTTTTATCATTGGATTTCAAGTTATTTTATTCAAACTTGTAATGTTTTATGCGTATGAGTGTTGGGAATTGTCCGATGAGTGTCATGTCGTGTCCGTGTGGGACACAACATGTTACTTACTTAGAAGTGTCGGTGCTTCTTAGACAAGATCTATTGCAACATATCAAATATTTTAAGGGTGCATTTGGATTTATGGAGTTCAAATGAATAGATTTGGCATCACTCATTGAAAGAGTATAGCCTTTAATTCTAGATTTGAAGAATGGATTTGAGAGTTTTAGATTGATGGATTTGACATAACTTGCTGAATATGATTAACTTTCCTACAATTTTATAAAGTTTTACCTCAAATCCCTTCACTGCGAATCCACTCATCCAAATGGAGCCTAATACAAACCTTTATTAGCAGTTGTTGCTACTTTTTAGCCCTCTTACCAGATAAGGTCCCTACCGCTGTCAACTTTTTTGGGACTTCCATTATGCATCAAGACGGAAAACGTAGCTACATTAGTTTGTACCACAAGGAGTAGTGAATCTTACTATAGAGGAATTAGAAAGATATAAATAACCCAGATGGTGCAATGTGAAGAGCTCCTCATTGGGGCATTAACTCCATGTGGTAAGTTCAAGCGACATAGATTATCATGGAGTACTAATGAGTTGTGTTGTAGTCTTTGGCATATTTGTTGATCATTTAATTTGTCATATTTGGTTTAATATTTATGCTTATCATCTTCAACGTTATCCGTTATCACCATAGTTGTCAAATCGAGATTCGAATCGTGAAATCGTAAAGATTCGGTTACTTTTTCTAAATTACGTAAAAACATATTTCTACAGACTTGGATGTTAAATATATCTTATAAATATGAAATATTTGAACTCAAATCAATGAAAATTAGTAAGAAGTTGACACAAGTTCCCATGTAAGATCACTATATTATCTTTTCTATTTTTTTTATTATTTATAACCGTTCTTAATAAAGAAAGTAAATAAAGACAAATGCTCAATTTCCAAGTAACAATAACTTGACAACGATGTTGATATCATAAGCATACATACCTTTACAAGTAACAATGACCTAATAATAAAATTAATTAAATTCTTTATTTTGAAACCTAAAACATTTTAAAAGGTATATATGCTTATTTGAAAACATTAGGTTTAAGTTTAACTGACCTCACCCATGTAATATTGAACTATATTTATTTCAATAAAATAGCAATAGATAATTCATATTGGAATAACTTTAATCATCTACCGAACATATATTATGATTTTATTTCTTTTTTTAATGAGAAGAAAATGTTAAAAACATGTTGAGTCTGACTAAATCTGATTGAATCGTATTAAAAACTCTTATATCACCAAAATAATAACAAATCATGTACACATATTGGTTATTTTTGTACTCAACACTATTAAAAGTTGCATTATGTCATCTTGACAAAAAAGAGGGAGAAAAAAATAATCGAAATATGTCAGACACAATAGGTTCAAGAATTAAATGAATCGTGAATTGTGAATTGATTGTGAATCATGCGATTCACCATAGATTCACTTTCAAAATAGATTTATCCATAGATTCATATCGATTTTGTAAAAATTGTGAATTAAATTGCAATTGTAAGATTCTGATAACAGAGATTATCACTTGGGGTGATGCCATGCCATCACTAATTTGCTCGCATGCATCTTGTGGACCATTTTCTAATACTTGCTTCTACTACACTCCTTATTGAATAAATATGTGATTGCAATTTTCCCAGATTGTATGTGCTTGAATAGAAAATTGTTATTTATCCAAAAGTCCTTGCTCACTGGAGTTGTGATGATTCAAATGAAGTATTAAATCAGAGTTTAGGCTGTGAAATATGTTCCCAAGTGCTATAGTGTGTTAACTCTGATACGTGGCGTTGAGTTGTGTTTCACTTGAACAGGTAAAGAAAATGGCTATTCATGCTATAGACCAGGTTGTAAGAGACTTGAAGGATTTGGCCATAGCATCAAAAGGAGGTGCTTTTGAGATGAGCAATAGTGAGCAGCTCAGTGGTTACCACGAGCCTTCTCAAACTGATGTTGCTACAGTTGAGGAGGGGCTGGTCGAGCATAATGTGATCGAGGGGGAGCCAAGAGCTGAGCCATCTGTTGAGCTGCTTCAATCAGAACACGATGTGCCCAAGGTTGTACAAGTCATGGTAGATCTGCCAGGAGGCATCCAGGCCATCGAAGAACCGAAGGAGGGGCCACAGGTTGTGTTCAAGGCAATAGAGGTCAAGTTGGAGCCATCCAAAGGCGTTCAAGCTGTAGGAGGGCATACAGAGCTTCATCTTGGAGGGTCATCAACTGAGGCTGCTCCAATCGAGGGCGAGTCTGAAGTGGCTCAAGCTGCCTCGGTCAGTGGTTCAAGTGCATCTTTGACCGTTGTTGGGATTGAGGAGGGAATTACTATGTCCAGAAGTGAAGATAGGGTGGTCACACTGAAGGATGATCAGTCAGGCTTAGAGGTGAGACTCAATTACAGTTCTTTAACTAAGCTGTTTTAATGCCTGTTTGATAGCATATTATTTGAATTTTTAAACATTATATTGGTGCAGGGAACATACTTTAGGGGTCAAAAAAACACTCTTATCAACATTGTTATATATCACAAGATCTGTTGCAACATATCAAATATCTTAAAGGTTGCATTTGGATTTAAGTAATTTCAAACGAATAGATTTGGCATCACTCATTGAAGGAGTATAACCTTTAATTCAATTCAGTAATGTTCAGCTAGATTTCAAGAATGGATTTGAGAGTTTTAGATTGATGCATTTGAAACAACTTGGTGAATATATTATTTAAAATCTTCTCATGAATGATTCTACTTGTACAAAGATTTTAAACTACGTATATCACGTCTATCTTCATTCAACCGTTCACCTTCAAATTATCAAAATCTACCTCCAATGATTTAACTTTCCTACAATTTTATAAAGTTTTTTAACATAAACCTTTTATAGCTTGGCAACTGTTGTTACTTTTTAGCCCTCTTAGATGATAACTTATCTACTCTTGTCAACTTATTTGGGACTTCAACTATGCATCAAGATAGCAAACATGGCTACATCAGGTTGTACCACTAAGAGTAGTGAATCTTACTGAAGAGAAATTACAAAGATATAAATAACATGGATGGAGCAATGTGAAGAACTTGCCATTGGGGCAGTAACTCCATGTGGTAATGGTGCTCTTGTGTTTGAGCCACATAGAATATCATGGAGTACTAATGAGTTATGCCGTGGTCTTTGGCATATTTGTTGATCATTTAATTTCTTGTACTTTAATATTTATGATCATCGTCTTCAATGCTATCTGCTATCACCTGTGGTGATGCCAAGCCATCACTAATTTGCTTGCATGCATCTTGTGGACCATTTTCTAATACTTGTTTTTACTGTGCTTCGTATTGAATAAATTTGTGATTGCAATTTTCCCAGATTGTTTGTGCTTGAATACAAATTTGTTATTTATCCAAAAATCCTTGCTCACCGGAGTTGGGATGATTCAAATGAAGTATTTATATCGGAGTTTGGGATTTTAACATTTGTGTGCTGTGAAATATGTTCCCTTCACTAACCGCTGAAGTATGCTAATACTGATACTGATCGCTGGTTGTGCTTCACTTGAACAGGTAAAGAAAATAGCTCTTCATGCTATAGACCAGGCTGTAAGAGACTTGGAGGAGTTGGCCTCAAAAGGAGGTGCTTTGGAGATGAGCACTAGTGAGCAGCGGAGTGGTCACTTTGAGCCTTCTCAAACTGACGTTGCTCCAGTTGAGAATGGGCTGGCCAAGCTTAATGTGATTGAGGGTGAGCCTAGAGGTGAGCCATCAGTTGATCTGCCTCGATTGGAACACGTTGTGCCTGAGGTAGTAGAAGTCAATGTAGATCTTTCTGGAGGCTTACAGGCTATTGAAGAACAGATGGTTGAGCCTCAAGTTGTGTTTGAGGCAATAAAGGTCAAGTTGGAGCCATCCGAAGGCATTCAAGCTGCTCCAATCAAGGGTGAGCGATCTGAGGTTCCTTGGTCCGATGTGGCTCGAGCAGCCTTGGTCGGTGGTTTAAGCACATCTTTGACTGTTGTTGGGATTGAGGAGGGAATTACTATGTCCAGGGGTGAAGATGGGGTGGTCACATTGAAGGATCAGTCGGGCTTAGAGGTGAAATTGAATTCTGAATCTCTGTTTGCCGGGGTAAGGGAGGAGTATCGAGCCAAACTTCTTCGCATTTTTGAGCTGAGGCCCGATACCTTCATGCACCTTGGCAAGCTGAGCTCATTGTTTGCGACGATGGTAATGGAGACTTTTGGAGGCTTGCTAGAGATGTTCGAGCAAACGGAGCTAAATAAAGCAAGCCAAGCAGACTTCAACGAACTTTTGTGCGCACTTGGATACTTGAGGGGTGGTTTGCTTAGAGTCGAGTGGATTGAAGATAGAGTCAGTAAGATGGCTGTTCGAGCAAAGTTTCATTCGGTCCTCTCAGAGGTGAAGCTGATTGACCAGAAGATTGATGAGTGCAAGGTCCAAATCATCGAGTACGAGGAGATGAAGAGGAAGCTCCTTCTGGAGGCTCATGAGTTTGAGCAATGTGCAGAGGGAGTTTTTGACATCAATGGAAATGTTGCTCAAGGGTTGCTTGACTTGTAATAGTCAACAATTATTTAATGGAATGAAACTTTGCTCTACTTCCCCAGCTGTTTTCTATGTTAAGAAACTTGCTCCAAAAGTGATGTGGGGTTTAAATTCAATTTTTGTATAATGAAATTCACACTTGAAATGAATTTTCACCACATAATATTTTTTCTAAGTATTTTTGTGAGTAAGTTTTCTAAGTTCCTGGTATTGTTAGTTTTATATTAAGATGTTATTTTGAATGATTTAAATTAGTGTATTTTTTTATTTTTTACGAAAAGATGTGTAAAAAGTAAAGATGTGATGTGACTCAAACAAGATATATAATATAGAATTACAACCAAAAACTATTAATTAATTTATGGGTAATGTTATGGTACACATTTAAATAATTGAGTTGATTAAAGAGAAAATTAGTGATAAATTCAATTTATAAAGGGTCTAAGACATTAGGTTCAGTGAATATTTTTTGTTGGTAATTACACATTTTGTGAAATAATTTGGTGAGAAGTTTTAGAAAACATTTTGTTTTCAATTTTACCTTTTTTTATCTGTTTAACTTTTTGTTGACTATCTGTTTAAATTTGTCTATTTGTTCAAATTTTTTGTCTATTTGCTCAAATTTTGTCTATTTGTTCAAATTTATATCTATTTGTTCAATTTTTTTGCTCAAATTTTGTCTATTTGTTCAAATTTATATCTATTTGTTCAATTTTTTTGACTATTTGTTCAATTTTTTTCCCAATCTGTTGATTGGATATCAATAGATATTTGATCAAATTGCATTTGTTTCAACAGTAATTATGATTTTAAAAATAAATCACAGACACAAATGCAAGTTGATCAAGTGACTACCGATATTCGATTAACTTGACTTTTTTTAGAAATGATATGCTCGACAAATTTTACATAGTGAACAGTTTGGATCATCGAAATGAGTCTAAAGTTGGGCCCACTGCAGCCTAATAACAGCATCCAATTCGGTGAAGAGCTCGGCCCATCTAAAAATTGGTCAAATTATACAATGCTCTAAGGACAATACTCTATTGTAATTAGGGGGATTACATACTAGTGGAATAGACAATTTTTTTTTACACAAACATAGACTTGCACACCTCACAATTTTTTACTTGCACTCTATTACAAAATTACTTGCACCCCACATGTTTTGGTAATTTATATGTTTTGATAATTTTTTTGGCTTTTTTTTTTTTTTGGTTCCACTACCATTTCCTTTGTATTTACAGACTGACACTAACACTTTGGTTGTGTTTGGTTTAGTTTTAGAAGTATAATTTGAGTGTGGAATTGTGATTTGAGTGTAGAATTCTGAATTTGGTTTTGAAAAAAAAAAAATTTATTTAGTTATGAGTTTTGAAAGGAGTTTTTGAATTTTGAAAAGAGTTTCGAGTTTTAAAAAAAGTTTTGAGTTGTATTTTGAGTTTTGAGTTTTTGAATTTTGAATTGTATTTTAAATTTTCTGTATCTATTTTTTTAAAATATTAAAAAATATTTAAGAAAATTTTAATTTTTTATTTTAAATATATAATTTTTATTTAATTTTTTTTATTTTGAAATATTTTATTGTTGTCCGCTCGAACATCCTCTCGGACGTTCGGCCGGTCGACTGGAATAGTGCAATTTTTATTTTATTTTCTATTTTTTTATGTTTTTTGCAATTGGAATCTGTTATTTGAAAAAAAAAATTATATTTATTTTAGATTTTTTTTAATACAAAAATTATTATTTTTAGATTTTTTATAAAAATAATTTAACAATTCTATCACTAACCATCTTCAACACTATATCATCGAAACAAACACACTTTCACCTAATCTCCTCAATAACAATCCATATATTAACAATCTTTTCACTAACCATCTCCTCACTAATAATTTCATTCAACTTAATCCGCCAAACAAACGTGGCCATAATTCAAAACTCAATTCAAAAATTATTTTTAAAATTCATAACCAAACATATAACTTGAAACTCTACACTACTTTCAAAACTTTACACTTAAATCGTAATCACACATACAACAAAAAAATTAACATACATATATACATGGCTAAAAAATAAGGTATGACCATATAGCATATATATATATGGTTAGTTTGGTCTTTTTACACAAACTTGTCGTGGCCAAGGTATTTTAGCATATGAACTTACAAACAAACAAACAAAAAAATTCAAATGGCCTCGGTGCCTTTGATTAAATACTACCAAACGAGATCATAGATTGTAATAAATAAACAAATAAAACATTGGAACAATTATTGCAATTTATTTAAATTGTTTATAATCTATTTTTATTTTGGAAACTTATACCAAATTATTTAATACCATTTCTTTTTATAATTTATTAGACATAAATAATTTAAATAAATTTAAAAAAATAATCATATGAAAAATAAGAGAAAAGTGCTTTTGATTTTAATTTATAATAATAAGTTGCACTAAACATCCATATCTAAAATTGTCACAGCTCAATCCAATTTTGGACTAGACGATATTGTTGGGCCATGATAGACCGGATTCCAAACTTATCTCGATCAACTGTTAAATGTGTAGAACTCGTTAAATACATCATTTTTGTAAAAAAATTATATTGATCGGATATCGATAGTTATTTGATCAAATTACATTTGTTTCAATGGCAATTATAATTTTAAAAATAAATCACAGACACAAATGCAAGTTGATCAAATGATTATCAATATCTGATTATTTTGATTTTTTTAAAGATTATATACTTGACTAATTTTACATATCAAACAATTTAAATTATCAAAATGAGTCTAAAATTGGGCCACAATGATTTAAATCATGAAAATGAGTCTAAAATTCAACCCATTGCGGCTCAATAACGCCATTCAATTCGAAAAAAGCTCAGCCCATCTACAAATTAATCAATTATACAATGCTCGAGGGACAATCCTCTGTTGTATTTAGGGGGTTACATATCAATGTAATAGACAAATTTTTTTATTCAAACATTAACTTGCATCTCTGCCAACATTTTACTTGCAGTCCATTACAAAATCACTTACATCTCAAAATTACTTACACCTCCCATGTTCTGATAATTTTTTTCTCTATTCCACTATAATTCCCCTTTGTATTTACAGATTCACACTAACGCTTTGGGTGTGTTTAATTTGTATTTTGATACATATTTTTGAAAAAAAAAAATTCTAAAAACATATTTGATTAGAAAATTTTTCAAAAAAAATCTAAAATTACTTTTCTCTATTACACATCAATCATTCATTTTTCCTCTCACCTCTCTTCTTCTCAATTACTTTTTCTCTCCTATTTTCTTAGGCCTCGTTTGGCAAGAGACTTTTTTAGTCAAAAAGTCCAAAAGTCACTAAAAAAATTAAAAAGCTAAAAAAACCAAAAAATTATCTCGAACATACTAATTTTTTTTAGCTCATATTTTAGCCAAATAACCAAAAAGTTACTAAATTAACTTATTCCCAAACGAGGCCTTAATTACAATAAAAAATCAAATTATTTTAAATTCCAAAACTATTTTCAAAATATACTACTAAATAAACTAAAAAAAAATTTAAACTCTCTCCCAAAAAGCTTTTTGAAAATTTATCTTAAAAACAAACCAATCGCACCCTTCGTTTCTTAAAACTAACAACAAAAAAAAAAGTAACAGATGTCATGATTTAGATCAACAACTAGTCGATTAGAGCATCATCTAAACGTGCTGTACAAGTATTGAATAATTTCTCCTAAAAACTGTTGGGATCATCAAAATGAAGAGTTAGTTCGAGAAGAAAGGAAGTCAGCTGATGTAGAGTACTAGAACTTACAAGAGCAAATAAAGAGGGGCCATTTTCCTAAATAAGTTAAAATATTAAATCAATTTTCAAATTAAGCTTAATTTTGAAAGAATTTTTAAAATAGACTAAATCATGGTTCACAATCACGATTTCAATATGTATGCGCCTGTCTCGCATGAAATTTGGAAAGTCTTAAAATCGTGGTTACAAAACTCGATTTTGATTAAGAAATCGCGGTTACAAAAGGCGCTTTTAATTAAATTTTTTTTCTTCTAAAATCACTATTCTGAACCACGCTTTTATCGAATTTTTTTTTTTTCTGAAATCGCTATTCTGAACTATGATTTTTACCAAATTTTTTTTTTCTTCTGAAAGCGTGATTGTGAACCACACTTTCAGTACACAAATGCAATAGCTGATAAAAAATAAAGTAAAGTGAACCATGTGCTATTAGGCCAACTGATACACAAGTACTATTGGACCAACGTAAAGTGAACACTCATCAACATAAATTTCTAAAAATAAAAATAAATTTCTAAAAATTTACGCTACCTTAGTGTTTAGGGATAAAATTTATTTTTTTATTTTACTAAAATAAAAATAAATAAATTTTAAGAATTAAACTCTAAACCCTAAAATAAAAAAAAATAAAATTTATCCCTAAATACTAAGGTAGCGTTTGGTAACGCTTACATTTTTTGTTTATATTTATGAAAATTTTATAAACTGATTTTTATTTATTTTTAGAAAAATATAAATTACAAACGCGTTTGTTTTGAACAAAATGTTTAAAAAATTTTAAAAACATAAAATAAAAAATATGTTTGTTCAGGCCTAAAATATTTATATTTATTTTTATTATTTATAACAATGGGATCACACATATTATAATTGAAAAAATAATAATGAAACAAATTTAATTTTTTTTTTTCAATTATAATATGTGTGATCCCATTATCATAAATAATAAAAATAAATATAAATATTTTAGGCTCGAACAAACATATTTTTTATTTTATGTTTTTAAATTTTTTTAAATATTTTGTTCAAATCAAATGCGTTTGTAATTTATGTTTTTCTAAAAATAAATAAAAATCAGTTTATAAAATTTTTATAAATATAAACAAAAAACGTAAACATTATCAAATGCTACCTTATTATTTAGGGATAAATTTTATTTTTTTTTTATTTTAGGATTTAGGGTTTAATCCTTAAAATTTATTTATTTTTATTTTAGTAAAATAAAAAAATAAATTTTATCTCTAAACACTAAGATAGCGTAAATTTTTAAAAATTTATTTCTATTTTTAGAAATTTATGTTGATGAGTGTTCACTTTACGTTGGTCCAATAGCACTTGTGTATCAGTTGGTTCAATAGCACGTGGTTCACTTTACTTTATTTTTTATCAGCTATTGCGTTTGTGTATTGAAAGCGTGGTTCACAATCACGTTTTCAGAAGAAAAAAAAAATTGGTAAAAATCGTGGTTCAGAATAACGATTTTAGGGAAAAAATTTTTTCCGATAAAAACGTGATTCAGAACAGCGATTTCAGAAGAAATTTTTTTTAATTAAAAGCATCTTTTATAACCACGATTTCTTAATCAAAATCACAGACGCATACAAGTTAAAATTCGTGGTTGTGAAGCACCATTTAGCCTCTCCTTTCAAAACTAGACTTTAGTTTAGGAATTAATTTAGTATTTTGGCTTATTTATGGAAATGACCCAATAAAGAGGCATCCATCTCCATGCAACAAACTTACACAAGCCACCGGAGATCTCATCAGATAAACTACAAAAAAACCCAAAAACAACATTACTCCTGCAAGTAGTTAGGCATCACCACACACACACACACACACAGCTGTAAATAGGTCTGAAGAGATTGATACTATTCCTCAGTAGCAGCAGCACCACCACCACCAAGATATGCAGACCAAGCATCATCAATAACATCATCATCCCCCATACCAAGTTGATCTCCCGTCTTGTCCTCACGTAGACGAGTACCATCGTAAGTAAATCGAAATTCTTCGTAGAAAAGCCCCAAACGATTGCAGTAGTCGAGCAGCATTGTACGCAAGGCCATGTAACGACTGATCCTGTAGATCTTATCTTCAGCTTCTGGCCTTTGTATCCTCAGATACAATGGCTTTTCTCCTTCCTCAAGAGTAAAATATACAATCTTCTCTTCAGTTGATGATCTTCCCATTTGATTCTCCTCTTCTTCTTCTTCTTTCTTCTCAGCTTTACAGTACACATGCGTATACACAGAGGACAAGACTTCCTGAGGCCTATCTATTCTATTCATTGGGCTGGACGCTCAGTGCTGTGCTTTCCATAATTAGGGAAATTCTACTACAGTATACATTTCGTTAAAAATAAATAATATCAATTTTTTTTTTTTTGAAGTTAAGATTAAATTCTTTTTTAGTTATAATATTATTTTATTTATGACTCATAAGTTCTTTAATTATGACATTATTTTAATTATAATTAGTGAATTCTTTATTTTATCTCTTATTGTATTTAGTTATTATTTTTTTTTAGTTATAACTCAAATAATTAAAATTATGTTTTTTTTTTTAGTTATGAGGTGTATATAATACGCACTATCTTAATATAATAACTTCTTAATTACCAGTTCGGAATCAAAATAGACAGTATTGTTGGGTTCTGGATTCATCTTAATAATTCAAATTGTTTAATACGTAAAACTTGTTGAGTATATCAGTAATCACTTAATAGATTGCATTTGTTTTAACGACAATTATGATTTTAAAAATAAATCGCAAGACACAAATGTGATATGATCAAGTGATTATTGATATTCTATCAACGTGATTTTTTTGTAGGAATAATGTATTTGACAAATTCTATACATCAAACAATTTAGATCATCGATATAGGATCAGAGTCAGGCCCGCCAATACCCTATAGCATCGGCTAATCCATTTTGGAACTGAAGAGAAGTTATTTCCTTTTTAAAATTTTATTTTTGGTAAATTACCCTATTATGTTGTTTAAGAGAAGTGTCACTTCAATTTTCATACTCCTTCCGTCTCAAAATATTCACCTTGCTTGGTTGGGTTTTTTTGAAATTTTTTTTGAAAAAGTCACTTGAAAACTGTTTTTTGAAAAAAAATCATTGTGTTTGGTTGTGATTTTTTGAATATAATTTTTTGAAAATTTTATACAACTTATTTGGTTATTCTGAAAAATGAATTATGTTTTCAAAAAAATAAACGAGCCCTCTGATTCTTCACGTGATGTTTTCAAAAAAAATAAATGAGCCATCTGATTCTCTAGGAATAGGTAGGCTGTAGTTGAATCTACTTCTGCCTCCTCTTTATAGCCTATGTCTTGCGCTTTATTACCTTTACCAAACATTTTACCACATCTTCACTTCCGTTGATATGCGTAGGTCGGCAACACCAAAGCAACAACGACGGCTAGCGACGAAGACATTGTTTAGGTGTGGTCGCTTTGAGCTCAGGGTGACGAAGATCCGACGAGAAAGAGGTTAGTCGCACTATTTTTGGTTCATCATGGGTTCATTTTGATCTCCATTTCCCCCTTCCATTTTAAAGTGTTCTTCTTCATAAATTTGTAGGAAATGAAATTTTTTTCAACAAATCTATTTTCTATGGTAGCAATTAGACAAAAATGGTACTTGAATCTCGGAATTGAAGTTTTATATATAAACCTAAAACTGGTGTGGTTTGATTTATACACCAAATCCCTAGTTGAATATGAAAAAAAAAATTTAGATTATGAATGTTTAGTTCGCTGCTTTGCTTTTGGAAAATGATTTAATCATTTGAAACCGATAGAAATTTCTCTACCTTCGGGTAACTGGTTTTGATTTCAGAATGTATTTTCCACATTTCGGACATAGTAAGCACAGATTTTATGCTTTCCATTTCGGAAATTAGCTTTATCATATTTTGTTCAATTCGTCATAGTTTCCCCTTTCCCAACTATGGTTCCAAAATCGGTATTGAATGGTCATCTCTTATATAAAAATGAAGCAAATTTTTACCAGTTTTCACTGTTCTGGTTTGGTGTACATAAACTCAGATTTGAAGTCCTTCGCTTTTTGTTGGTTTTTGTTGTTTTTACTTATTTCTGTACTTGTATTGTTGTCATCGTTGTTGATGTAGTGACACCATCAGTTTCTTGTGGTCGATTCGATCTCCGCTGTACCAAGATTCGTGAGGAAAGGAGTAAGGTCTTTCAGCCCTTGTAATTGTATTAAATGTATTTTTCTTGAACAAGGATATCAAACCATATTGTTAAAGTGCACTGTGCAGTTCATTTAGGTACACCCCCATTTACTGAAGACTCTTTGAAGAGGAAGCAAAAGGCAGCACACACACCAGACTCATCTTCTTTTGCTGAAAACGACATGGAGGTAAATATTACTTTGCTACATTTCGTAAATGTGTTACATGCAATGTTTACTCAAACAAGAATGCATTAAAACATCAGACCTCTATTCCTTGCAATGTTTACTGAAACAAGAATGCATTAAAACCAACTGTCAGTCAAATGGAATTTGTAACTTGCTATTTTCACCATGGTATGTAAGACCTCATCACTTAACATTTACCCATGACACATGAAAAATTATCACGTGTCATATGTGTATTTCATAGATGGACAATGGGGGGTTCATTGAGGATGCGCAAGAACTGAAGTTGTGGCCAAATAGGATTGAGTTGGCCTTCATCCAACTGATGGTCGAGGAGGTGAAGCAAGACCCCTCATTAACCAAAAAAAACTCTTTTACCACAAGGCATTGGACTCGAATTGACGACGAGCTGTACAGTCAGTTTAGAGTTAGGTACACAGTTAACTGATTAAAACAAAAGTACCACCGCATCAGGCAAGCGTACAATACATTTGTGAAATTGAAAAACCATACGGGGTTCGGTTGGGATGAGCAGAGGAAAACGGTCATGGCCTCGGATGATGTTTGGGATCACTTTGTCAAGGTAACAACCACCACCGTAGGATTGACTACAACCTTCATACTGCAGTACATTAACTCGAACAATTCTTATTTACCATATCTTTGGTTTTTTATTTTTGTAGGCACATCCCAAAGCAAAAGTGTTCAGGAAAAAGGGTCTAGACCACATAGACTTGTTAGACGTCCTCTTTGCCAACTCCCAAGCCACTGGCGCACTTGCCCGTGCTTCAACCCAAGGACCCCCAACCTCTGATAAAGAAAGGGATATCCAAAGTGCATTCTTTGGTGTTGGAATCAACTCAAATACCGATTCCATCCCTATTGATGACGACATGGACAGAGATGATGACCCGAAGGTAGGTGGGAGTTGTGACCCGAAGGTAGGTGGGAGTAGTGGTAACGATGGTGGGCGAAAGGGTGCACACTTTGATTTCGCACTTGATACATGGACTGTCACAAACCTTGCCAAAAGAGAATTTTTTGCTCGCCAAAACAAAATGGCTGAAGCAAGCCAGGCTGAGAAAAACAAAACTCCATTGCAGCATGTATCCAATGTTTGGCAATAATGGACGAAATCGCTCCCGACCAATACGTGAAGCCGTGTGAGAGTTTCCGCGATAAAGCAACGAGGAAAATGTTCATGTTGATACTACCCAACATGCAGCTGCATTGGGTTCGTAAACTTGCTTAGGGATGATGGACTTTGTACTGATGCAATTTCATTTTGGTCAGCATCCAAGTTGTTGTATGTGAGCGTATGTAGCTAAAACACTAAAAATCGCGCCTACTTTTTTTTTTTTTTTTTTATATGTGTATTTCATTTGTCAACTATGGTTATGTAAGGAAGTTATGTTCAGCTTTGAAAGGAAGTTATGGACTTGTATAAATTGTCATGCATAATGCGGTGGTATTCTATGTTATGTTGACTTTTGTTCTTTACAAACACCTTTTTGATTGATGTTCTCATTATATCCTTCATGTACTAGTGCATTTTTTCCTAGGTGGCTGAAAAAGTTGAAGATCCCTTAAACCTTTATTCTGTTGAAAATGTTCAGCTTTTTAAAATTATGTGGTAGTTCCTTAGTTTGCTTGGACATATAAAACAAATCAATGTTTAATTATGTGGTAGTTCCTTAGTTTGCTTGGACATATAAAACAAATCAATGTTTAACCATGTGGTAGTTCCTTAGTTTGCTTGGACTACTATGTGGACTCTAATTATGTGAACTCTGATTTCACCTCTGGTCTTTTAAAGTACACAAACAGAACTTTTATAAGTAGAAAAATGCTTGAAGATCCCATTTTTTTAAAACTCTCACAATTGTTTTTAGGTCTCCATTATTGATGTATGTGTAGGATTCATTCATGTATATGTGGGTGCAGGATAATTTGTTGCTAATAACTGTTTAAATTGAAGCTTTCTTGCTTATGTAAAGGTTAATAAATACAGTTATTATAATCTACATCATATATATAATATTTTTTGATAATATATACTTCATGCACATTTTTTATATTATAATCTTCATGTCTTCATTAGTTGTGATTTATTTAAAAGGATATTATTCTGGATCTCATTTTCCTGCATTTATCAGAGCCTCTGATATGGCGATGCCAAAATTAAAAGCTTTATGGCTTGAGTTAAGATTGGCAGTCAAACATGCAGCATATTTGTGCTTTTAACATGAAGGAAAAAAGTAAAAATAGGGTGTCCTTATATTTGAAAATTAGTGAAGTTGAATTTATATATGAAGTTGAAGATTAAGAAAATTAGTTGATTTAGGAGTTTAATTTATATATGAAGTTGAATTTGTTTTGGATTTTGTTTCTTTAATATTTTGTCAGCCTTATTTCATTTTACTTTCCTGAGTTGCTTATAATTATGCTGCTACATAAACTTGGCTTCATATTAAAACTGTTTTTTAGTCCTTCCTTTCATAGGTTGGATCAATGTTATGCAACTTCAATGACAGAACATTCAAAAATTCCATTCCAAACTATTTCGAATTGATCATGGTCTACTGATCCGTTCTGAATTGATTCAGATTCTGTTATTGATCTTTTTTTTTGAATCTACGCATCTGCTGCACAAGTTACTGTTTAGACAATGCACTAAACTGCATGCAGGAGTTTCGTTTTATTACATGTTGGCTTGTAACCTTGATGATAGGCCTGAAACGAGTTAAATTTATAGCAAAGAGGGCTTACGACTTATATGAAAATATTTTATCTGTATATACCCATAAATGGGTACATGCCACATAATGTAACCATAGGTCCAATCATGTATACATATATGTATGTATGTATATATATATATTTAAAAAAATGAGAGAATGTTTTGATGTGATTTTTTTGTGTTTTTTTATTTGTTTCAATGATTAATTTGGAGGGAAATTTGAAATGGTAATCATGTATTTTTTTGGAAACCAAAAAACCATTTTTTTTCAAAAAACAATTTTCAAGTGACTTTTTCAAAACCACCCAACCAAGCAAGGTGAATGGTTGTTTGGTTTCCAAAAAAATACATCAATACCATTTCAAATTTCCCTCCAAATTAATCACTGAAACAAATAAAAAAACACAAAAAAATCACATCAAAACATTCTCTCATTTTTTTAAATATATATATATACATACATACATACATATATGTATACATGATTGGACCTATGGTTACATTATGTGGCATGTACCCATTTATGGGTATATACAGATAAAATATTTTCGTATAAGTCTTAAGCCCTTTTTGCCATAAATTTAACTCGTTTCAGGCCTATCATCAAGGTTACAAGCCAACATGTAATAAAACGAAACTCCTGCATGCAGTTTAGTGCATTGTCTAAACAGTAACTTGTGCAACAGATGCATAGATTCAAAAAATAAGATCAATAACAGAATTTGAATCAATTCAGAACGGATCAGTAGACCATGATCAATTCGAAATAGTTTGGAATGGAATTTTTTGAATGTTCTGTCATTGAAGTTGCATAACATTGATCCAACCTATGAAAGGAAGGACTAAAGAACAATTTTAATATGAAGCCAAGTTTATGTAGCAGCATAATTATAAGCAACTCAGGAAAGTAAAATGAAATAAGGCTGACAAAATATTAAAGAAACAAAATCCGAAACAAATTCAACTTCATATATAAATTAAACTCCTAAATCAACTAATTTTCTTAATCTTCAACTTCATATATAAATTCAACTTCACTAATTTTCATATATAAGGACACCCTATTTTTGCTTTTTTCCTTCATGTTAAAAGCACAAATATGCTGCATGTTTGACTGCCAATCTTAACTCAAGCCATAAAGCTTTTAATTTTGGCATCGCCATATCAGAGGCTCTGATAAATGCAGGAAAATGAGATCCAGAATAATATCCTTTTAAATAAATCACAACTAATGAAGACATGGAGATTATAATATAAAAAATGTGCACGAAGTATATATTATCAAAAAATATTATATATGTGATGTAGATTATAATAACTGTATTTATTAACCTTTACATAAGCAAGAAAGCTTCAATTTAAACAATTATTAGCAACAAATTATCCTGCACCCACATATACATGAATGAATCCTACACATACATCAATAATGGAGACCTAAAAACAATTGTGAGAGTTTTAAAAAAATGGGATCTTCAAGCATTTTTCTACTTATAAAAGTTCTGTTTGTGTACTTTAAAAGACCAGAGGTGAAATCAGAGTTCACATAATTAGAATCCACATAGTAGTCCAAGCAAACTAAAGAACTACCACATAATTAAACATTGATTTGTTTTATATGTCCAAGCAAACTAAGGAACTACCACATGGCATTAAAAAGCTGAACATTTTCAACAGAATAAAGGTTTAAGGGATCTTCAACTTTTTCAGCCACCTAGGAAAAAAATGCACTGGTACATGAAGGATATAATGAGAACATCAATCAGAAAGGTGTTTGTAAAGAACAAAAGTCAACATAACATAGAATACCACCGCATTATGCATGACAATTTATACAAGTCCATAACTTCCTTTCAAAGCTGAACATAACTTCCTTACATAACCATAGTTGACAAATGAAATACACAGATTAAAAATAAAAATAAAAAGTAGGCGCGATTTTTAGTGTTTTAGCTACATACGCTCACATACAACAACTTGGATGCTGACCAAAACGAAATTGCATCAGTACAAAGTCCATCATCCCTAAGCAAGCTTACGAACCCAATGCAGTTGCATGTTGGGTAGCATCAACATGAACATTTTCCTCGTTGCTTTATTGCGGAAACTCTCACACGCCTTCACGTATTGGTCAGGAGTGATTTCGTCCGTTGTTGCCAAACATTGGATACATGCTGCAATGGAGTTTTGTTTTTTCTCAGCCTGGCTTGCTTCAGCCATTTTGTTTTGGCGAGCAAAAAATTCTTTTTTGGCGAGGTTTGTGGCAGTCCATGTATCAAGTGCGAAATCAAAGTGTGCACCCTTTCGCCCACCATCGTTGCCACTACTCCCACCTACCTTCGGGTCATCATCTCCGTCCATGTCGTTATCAATAGGGATGTAATCGGTATTTGAGTTGATTCCAACACCAAAGAATGCACTTTGGATATCCCTTTCTTCATCAGAGGTTGGGGGTCCTTGGGTTGAAGCACGGGCAAGTGCGCCAGTGGCTTGGGAGTTGGCAAAGAGGACGTCTAACAAGTCTATGTGGTCTAGATCCTTTTTCCTGAACACTTTTGCTCTGGGATGTGCCTACAAAAGTAAAAAACCAAAGATATGGTAAATAAGAATTGTTCGAGTTAATGTACTGCAGTATGAAGGTTGTAGTCAATCCTACGGTGGTGGTTGTTACCTTGAGAAAGTGATCCCAGACATCATTCAGGGCCATGACCGTTTTCCTCTGCTTATCCCAACCGAACCCCGTATGGTTTTTCAATTTCACAAATGTATTGTACGCTTGCCTGATGCGGTGGTACTTTTGTTTTAATCGGTTAACTGTGTACCTAACTCTGAACTGACTGTACAGCTCGTCGTCAATTCGAGTCCAATGCCTTGTGGTAAAAGAGTTTTTTTTGGTTAATGAGGGGTCTTGCTTCACCTCCTCGACCATCAGTTGGATGAAGGCCAACTCAATCCTATTTGGCCACAACTTCAGTTCTTGCGCATCCTCAACGAACCCCCCATTGTCCATCTATGAAATACACATATGACACATGTGATAATTTTTCATGTGTCATGGGTAAATGTTAAGTGATGAGGTCTTACATACCATGGTGAAAATAGCAAGTTACAAATTCCATTTGACTGACAGTTGGTTTTAATGCATTCTTGTTTCAGTAAACATTGCAAGGAATAGAGGTCTGATGTTTTAATGCATTCTTGTTTGAGTAAACATTGCATGTAGCACATTTACGAAATGTAGCAAAGTAATATTTACCTCCACATCGTTTTCAGCAAAAGAAGATGAGTCTGGTGTGTGTGCTGCCTTTTGCTTCCTCTTCAAAGCGTCTTCAGTAAATGGGGGTGTACCTAAATGAACTGCACAGTGCACTTTAACAATATGGTTTGATATCCTTGTTCAAGAAAAATACATTTAATACAATTACAAGGGCTGAAAGACCTTACTCCTTTCCTCACGAATCTTGGTACAGCGGAGATTGAATCGACCGCCAGAAACTGATGGTGTCACTACATCAACAACGATGACAACAATACAAGTACAGAAATAAATAAAAACAACAAAAACCAACAAAAAGAGAAGGACTTCAAATCTGAATTTATGTACACCAAACCAGAACAGTGAAAACCGGTAAAAACTGCTTCATTTTCATATAAGAGATGACCATTCAAAACCGATTTTGGAACCACAGTTGGGAAAGGGGAAACTATGACGAACTGAACAAAATATGATAAAGCTAATTTCCGAAATGGAAAGCATAAAATCTGTGCTTACTATGTCCGAAATGTGGAAAATACATTCTGAAATCAAAACCAGTTACCCAAAGGTAGAGAAATTTCTATCAGTTTCAAATGATTAAATCATTTTCCAAAAGCAAAGCGGCGAACTAAACATTCATAATCTGAATTTTTTTTTCAGATTCAACTAGGGATTTGGTGTATAAATCAAACCACACCAGTTTTAGGTTTATATATAAAACTTCAGTTCCGAGATTCAAGTACCATTTTCGTCCAACTGCTACCGTAGAGAATAGATTTGTTGAAAAAAATTTCATTTCCTACAAATTTATGAAGAAGAACACTTGAAAATGGAAGGGGGAAATGGAGATCAAAATGGACCCATGATGAACCAAAAATAGTGCGACTAACCTCTTTCTCGTCGGATCTTCGTCACCCTGAGCTCAAAGCGACCACACCTGAACAATGTCTTCGTCGCTAGCCATCGTCGTTGCTTTGGTGTTGCGGACCTTCATATATCAACGGAAGTGAAGATGTGGTAAAATGTTTGGTAAAGGTAATAAAGAGCAAGGCAGAGGCTATGAAGAGGAGGCAGAAGTAGATTACCTATTCCTAGAGAACCAGATGGCTCACTTATTTTTTGAAAAATGCCTAAGACCCCCAGTGGGGGTCACTGGGGGGTCGCGTGTGTCAGCGCGTGATTGGCCCAAAAAAGAAAATTTGTTTTTTTTTTTTCAGCGAATGGCAGCGTGCCATGTCACTAGGGGCCGACCTCCACTGGGGGTCTGAAGCAGCGCTGTTATTTTTTTTGAAAACATAACATCACGTGAAGAATTAGAGGGCTCGTTTATTTTTTTGAAAACATAATTTATTTTTCAGAATAACCAAATAAGCTGTATAAAATTTTCAAAAAATTATATTCAAAAAACCACAACCAAACACAGTGATTAGTTTTTTATTTTATTTTTTATTGTCTCAAAAAATTAATTCCTTTTCAAAAAATTAAAGAACAAAATAATATGAATTTACTTTTTTGCCTTTCTTTTAAATTTATTAATAACACAAAAAGTACAATTATAATAATTAATATTACTTAAAAAATATACTATCAAATGGTAGTTTTGAAAAATAATTTTTTAAAATATAATAATTGTATTATCAAAAAATGTTAGATTCTCCAAAAGGGACAATTATTTTTGGGACGGAAGGTGTAGGTTTAATTTAAACAATCCTTATATTTTCAACTTTATTGCAATGCAAATTTCCATCACTCACCATTAAAATTTAGAACGAAAAAATATTATGTGTAAACTAAGGGGAAGTAAAATTCAAAATAAATTTTGAGAATATGGTTAAAATTTGATTTTTTTAATTTGATTTTTTAAAAAACATGTAAAAAAAATATAAGAGATGATATGACTTGAAATGAGTTAAAAATTGGGAAGTGGCTTATAAGGACCATTGGTGTAATAATGTTAACAACGCATAGTAGAAAGATCAAATTGCAATAAAATTAAAAGTTTAATCACTAAATTATTTAAATTAAAATTGTAAAGATCAAAGTGAAATTTTAGTCAAATTAGAGGGATCAATGGTGCAATTTGTCATTTTATTTTATCATTAGCCACCATTTGGGAATTTTACTATTTTAATTGATATTTTTACCTTTTAGCTATTTTAACTTATTTGGAAACACAGTTAAAAATCAATTTTTTTTATTTTTTAAAATCACATCACCTCTCTATTTTTTTACATTTTTTAAAAAAAATTAAAAAAAGTGAAAAAGTTAACTTTTAGCCTATTTTCTAAGAAAAAAAATTTGTTTTTAAAATGATTTATAGATTTTCTTTATAATTGAATAAATGATTGTGAGATATAAAGTTATTGATATATTAGATGTAACATTTTATTTTATTAATTATTTTATTTTTATTGATTATTTTAACTAAAACAAATCATCCCAAACACCTCATTAGTGTAGTGCACAAAAATTGTATCAAATAGGGTTTGTTTAGAAAGTGGATTGGCTTTTTGATTTTTTTAACTATTTTAACCTGGAGTTAAAAAGTCTATTTTATTTTTTTGTGACTAAAATAACTCTAAACCCAACCCAATTCTTCTTCCCAAACGAAACCATAGATAATTTGATTTTTTATACAATATGCTGACCTTATAATAATAGTTAAAAAAGCCAACAATTACTGTAATGAGAGATAATTGGTCATTTTGACAAGTTAGTTAAAAGTTAGGAGAAAGCACAAATAAATCTCAAATTTGAAAATGTTGACCTATTTAGTTCTGAAAGTTTTTTGTTAGACTAATAGATCCTATTTCTCTAAAAGTTTACTATAGACCTTTTTATGGCAAACATTATTCATCAAATATCAAACATTAGCAACGTCAGAATTATTTATCAAACATCAAATATTACAACGTCAAGATTATTCTTATAATTTCAGTTAAAACATTAACAACGTTAGAATTATTCATCCAACATTGAACATTATCAATCGTCAGGATTATTCATCAAACATCAACCATTAAATATTAAGATTATTCATCAAATATCAAACATTATTCATCAAACATCAAACACAACCATTAAGGCCAAGTTTGGGAAGTCGCAAAAAAATTAAAAAGCCAAAAAGTTACTCAAAAAGTTAAAAAGTTATCACTATTCACCAAAAGTCAACAATTGCGGCTGCACAACTCCTAATATTAATTTTTCTCTACAAATCAATTCATAATTCCACAACACACAAACTCAAAATACAACTCATACTCTCAAATCACATTTACAAAACTCTACCAAACACTACCTCATATTTTCAATCTCAACTTTTTAGTCTAAAAAGACAAAAAGTACATTTATTTAAGACACCCCAAATAACCCCTAAATATTAAGATTATTCATCAAACATCCAACATTATTCTCTCGAGATCCATCATCAAATTCATTAGAACATCATCCACAACCCTTCCCTTCTAATTCATGTGCCAGAATGTAACCCGCTACTTTGAACATCATCCACAAATTACGAATTCCACAAAACACAGTTGCAGTGATCATTAAAAAAAAATTGATTTTTCCAATGTTTTGGAAGTTCAGGGAACAACGAGTATTATGATTCTGGGAACACAACCTTCAGATTATCAAACTACAAGCTGAACATCGATCACAAAACTGTACCGTTAATCTCCATCATTTAGATGCACATCAAACCAAACAACCATTCTACTTCATGTGCCAAAAATGTAATCCACTATGTTGAACATTATCCAGTATTACGTTTTCCACACATATCCAAATCTGTCAAAATTTAACTACTCCCCCCAAAATGAAACAAACACCAACTAAAACATCAACACACACAGCACCGTCGCAATGTTAAAAAAACAAAACACACAACTAAAACATCATATATATATATATACATACATACACACAGACCTATATACACTCGATTACACGCTTCTCGATCTTCGAAAATCCGCAAATTCCACAAAATCTCCAAAAACAATGTCGCAATCCCTCAATTTCTTCATCCCCAAACTCCACCATTACGAAGCAATCTTATTCAAAACCCTACACACAAGCATTCAATCTCAAAATTCCCTTCAAATCCGCGCGTAAATCGATCACAACCTCGTGTTCCGATCTCGATTCATCTCCTCTATCGCCAATCCTCGTCTCCGACAACGGCAAGGGAGGAGGAGTAACAGAGGCGGTTACGGAGTAGGACCTAATGGTGCGATGGATGGATCGCCGCCTAGGGTTTCACGATCTGAGAGAGAGAGGGGCAATGGTTCTGGTGGTGGATCTTGAAGTAGGTGAGGAGGAGGCAGTGAACGGAGGAGTGGCGTCGCTAGAGGAGAGGCGGTGGACAGAGGAGAGGGACTCCTGAGAAGATGAAGAGGAAAAGGAGGGGAGAGAGAGAGAGTTTGGTGATGATGTTCAGTGTAGATGATGATGTTCGAATATATGATGTTTGATGTTTTGAATAATGTTGTGGCGTAGAAAAAGGACTAAATGATTTATTAAAAAACATTTATGATTAGATAGAGTAATATTTTTCAATATGAGACTTACGAGTAACTTCTCTTAAAAGTTAACTTTTAGATTTTTTAGTTTTTTTTTTAATTATATCACTTTTAATTTCTTTTACATATTTTTTTCAACAAAAACTAAAAATTCAAATTTTAAAGAACTTTCCAAAACAACCCAATATACACATTACTAATATCTATTTCATCTCATGTTCATAAAAGTTGAATATGATTATCAAATGAACTTAATTAATTATCATTTAATTAATTTAATTTTAAGTGTTGAATTATAATATCGAATGCTCCCAAATAAACAGCTTATTCATAGTGTTATCAAATAAACTTTTAATTAGGCCTAATTTGGGATGTTGATTTTATTTTTTTTTACTACAATAACAAAAAAATCAAAATATTCAATTACATTACTTTTTTTTATAAAAAAAATAAATAAAAACAATTAAAATAAGGAAAAATTACACTAATAGTGGAACATATTTACACACAAGTAAAAAATATTATAAATATTAATAATTATAATTATAAATTTTTTAATTATTTTATTAATAAAATTTATTGCCACCACTAAGGATGGCTATGGGGCGGGTTTGGAGTGAATTTGTCATACCTCGCTCCTACCACTGCTTTCAAATCCCACAGTCGCCCCTGTCCCTGCCCTAACCCCGCCACGGTAGAATTTTTTAATCCCATCTCCACCTCGCAGATATCTGACCACATTTTAAATAGTCAAAAAATTTGAGAATTATTTAAATATTTAGCACAATAAATAATTTATTTATTTCCATATATATAAACAATGATACTTTTATAATTATTATTTATTTGTTTTTAAACTAAATCACAGACTTTTAATATTCTTTTTTTATATCTAATTATATTATATATTTATATTTTATTAATTATATCGGATCGAGTTTGGATCAAGAGAAGCGATACTCGTCCTTACTCCATCCCTATTGTGTGTGACTAAGGGCTTGTTTGGTAAGTAGGTTTGGACTAAAATAGTCACATAAGATAAAATAATCAAAAAAATCTATACCAAACAAAATTTTTTAACCCTATATTAAAATAATAAAAAAAAAATCAAAAATTAATCCGTATCTCAAACAAACTTTAAAATACAATCTACTCTTGTCCTCCATAAATGTTAAATCGGATAAAATTTAACCCATTCGGACGAATATCAACAAAATGAACAGATCGGATTAAAATGCAACTGCTGATGGATTATGCCTCCGTTGGGAAAGTAGATTGATTTTTTAACTTTTTTATTTATTTTAATTTGGGTTAAAAAATTTAATTTGGGAAAGATTTTTTAATTTTTTAACTTTTTTTTATAAAAGAATAATATAATAATTATAAATTAAATGTGATATTTTATTTATTATAACTAAAATAACTTATTTTATTTTTTATAACT